TTTTTTTTTTTTTTTTTTATTTTATACCCCTTTATTTTTATTTGACGATACCGTGACCAAAGATAAGATGTTTCTTCTTATCTATACATGACTCTCATGTACATGGGCCGTTGAGCGATTTTTAAATTTCAAAAATTTAGAAACGTGGATTTTATGAGCGCTGCATAGAAGGAGTTCTTCCATTTACATATATGTATAACCATTGCACAGTTTCCTCCACTTCAGCAGCCTCATCCACGACCATGTAACAAGATTTCATTGTATGTGTAATATATATGAGTATTCGAGAAGGCTGAGGAACCATTAAGCTGCCTATTATACGAGTAGGAAAGTTCAATGAAAACTTTAACCCCATGTACAATGTGTGTTGGTATTTTAAAATAGTTCTAGCAGTGATATAATACGAACTAAAATATTAAGGCTTTCTTAGCCACGGTATCTGTACGAGCGTAGAGGAATCAAATCGTCTTTCTCCCTTCTTTCTTTCTCTCTCACACTCTCACTTAAACACTACACATTTTGACAAATAATTAAGTCATCACAGAAGCATCATATTATCATATTCAATTAGACTACATATTCTTTTGTGAATGTTCTTGTTCAATTAGCGCAGTAATATTACAATGATCGAGTACAAAATGGTTTTTAAAGTTTCTCAAGCCTAGTATAAAGCACTATTAATATGTATATATATATAGATATATATATATATTTATTTTATTTTATTTTATTTTATTTATTTTATTTTATATGCTTACATGTCGGCACATACCATACGCAATGTGTTATCATTACATTATGGTATGTGTATGCACATGTATGGTCGCATTTACCACTTAAAATCTAATTGTAGCGGTAGTAATTCTATCGTTACTCTATGAATGAAAGCAAAAAAATTCAACGAATGAAACACCAAAAGCTACCGGAAAAAAAGAAACGAAAGAGAATTTAAAAAAGGAAACTGTACCATTCGACTCTGATAATCGTTATGATCTTTTTTCGACCTCCAAACAGACTAAATGCTCTTTTTTTACGCGGACAATCGGGTACAACAACACCATAGCCGTAAAAAGAAGTAATAAATGAAATGTATTGAAACAAGCTTCATAATAATCGTCGACATACACAAACGATCACAAACACAGAATTTAATGCCATCTAAAAGACCCACAATCGTGTAAGTGGTAGGCACATTGAAACGGAAAAGGATATCTTACACGACATATCTTTCGAAATAAATGTTAGTACAAGTATATGTATAACTTTAAGAAACAAACAGCTGTGTACTTGTGTAATTAGATGAAGGCAGTGATTTTGCACGAGTTACAAAGTGAAAGGAAAACAATAAAAAATTAAAAAAAGACGATCGATTCTTCATTATATAAATTCGTTATTTCTTTGAATTATTTCGATTATTTTATCTAGTTGAATATTTAGTCCCCTCCCGTTCACTGTTACAAAACGAAATCGTTAAAGATTGCAAATCCCTTTCAGCTATTATTATAATCGCTTGCGATAAGTTCCTTTAAGTTTTCTTTCCAGCGAACGAAAATGGCACAAAGCGTAATACGAGGCCTGTTAAAAGCACAGCGTAGTGCGACCCCGTTGGTTTATTTATTCCAAAAGTTGAAACACGTAAACTCTTGATGGCCTATTTTATTCAGCGAGTGACTCTCTCTCTTTCTCTTTCAGCAAGCTTGCAGTCGAATCCCGCTCTCCTCTTTCCTCGATTTTGTAACGGTGAAAAAGGTATTTCGAACGAGGATCGCGATCATTATTTGACTTCTCTTCGCGTTTACCCAGAGCTGGCGGTTTCCTTCTCGGCGGGCAGGGCACACTGCTCCGACAGAGCTGCTTTGTTCTGTCTTACCTTCTCTGCACGCCTCTCCTTTATAACAAAAAAAAACAACCATGCGTTAAACTCGATGACAGTTGACAGAGGTGAAACTACTCTAATAAAATAAGTTTTAAGGTGTATCATGCCAACTGATACTAGGCTAACATGTGTATTCAAGTATAGCTGCGAGAACATGCTGAAATGAAAATAAAAAAAATGTACACTGGCGGCCACAGTAGGCTTCCCTAGGGTAAATGGCGATCTAAGAAAAAGGGGATCCACCACTTGTTTTGGACATTTGGGAATTTCTTGATTTGGAAATTTTAAAATTTCCAAGTTTTGAGAATTTACAAAATTATACACTTGAAAATAATGGAAATTTCAGATCAACATACTTAATCTGTCTGAATGCAAGTGGTGCAATGATTCTTCCCCTCCACTCATTCATCCTTGAAACAAGCCTACGTTGCATCCAAGTACATAATCACAGGATCATTTTCCGCAACATAACGTTATGGAAACAGAACTGATTAAAATTTCTCTAACGACAATCCTATCCTACTAAAATCACGGAGCTTTTAATCTGAAAAACTAATTCAGCGAAACGAAGACAGTAACAAGCCATTTTCATGACGGGCGAAGGGCTGGGGTGGTAGGAATGCGACCATAAGAATATTGATTCAACAGAAAGAGAGCGAGAATTACATGCTTGCGAATAGCCTGCACACGACGTTGAATCTCTCGCTGTCGGTTCTGCTCCGCAGTAGAAATCCTCTTGTCAGATTCGAACTTTTTCATCAGAAGTTCTCTCGTAGCCGTCTGACGCACTTTTGCTATCTTCACGGTGTTCTAAACGACCATTTCAAATTCCCGTGTCGGGTAAAATTGTCGATAGTGGTTTCGAGAAAGGATTTTCACTAAGAAAAAATTGTCAAATTCAGAAAACGCGTGGTTGCGATGCGTTTTCAAAACTCGACCAAAATAAAACCAGCTACGTGTTACGTCTACGGAAGCGAGAAATCCTTCCTGATACTTGGCCAAAACAATACAAATAGAAAACCCATAAACTAATATACGAAAATATCTGGAAATAAGGTGATGTCATTTGACTTACATGATTACGCAGCTTCTCCTTTTGTTCGCGTTCAATGTTCTCACGGCGTTCACGAGCTTGATCCAATTTACCTTGAATCTTCGATTCAAGTTGTTGCACGCGTTCGGTCATTCCTTGACGTATGCGAGCCGCTTGTTCTTCCTACAAATGAAAAAAATAATGTTTATTCGACAATTTATCGTGAATAAATTCGTGAAGAATTTATAAAATCGTGAAGATCCTATAGAGGTTTCACAGAGAATTGAAGATTTCAAAATTGTAAAATATCTAGAAAAGCCTAGAGATATTCTAAATTGTTGAATAAAATAAAATTCCAAATTAACGATGGTTACTAACATGTGCTTTAAGACGATCCAACATTCTCTTGATATTCTCATCGCGTTGAGCAGCGGCGGTGTTCAATTTCTTCTTGACAGCGCAACGAACCTCTTCTGTCTGTTGTTCAAGGCTCAAACGAGTCTTCTCCACGCTCTCTAACTATAAATGTATATGGCGTTACAATTTATTAGCGTTATAATTTATTACGTAAATATAAAAAAATCAAAACTAACATGTTCCTTCAGTTTGTTCTTCACTTCTGCAATGTGAGCCTCCCGTTTCTCTTCCGTGTTGTTCATCTTCGCGTCCAAAGACTTGCTGGTCGCGGCGATGAAAGCGGCGCTAAGTTCATCTTTCTTGCGAGCTACCTCTTCAATTTTGCAAAGTTTCGCTGAAAAAGCGGCGAGCTTATGAGCTTCTAGAGAGAGTCTTCTTTCCTCCGCTGCTCGAAGCTTCTCCTCGATGGCGACTTGTTGAGTCGGGCTGGTTTGTGGGGGAGACGGTGCTCTTTTCGGCACTGTTGGCTCTGCCAAGATTACCTCGTAGCAAAGTCCACCCTTGGATTTTTCCTGACAACGAATTTCCGTCGCTACAAGGGCAATTGCAAACAAATACTGCGTTAATTACTTTGCTAAGTTTTTAATGTATTGGTGTAACTAATTAGAATCTGGAGAAAAACTGCCTTGAATAACACAACCAACACGTGGCGATATAATCAATGGTAATATTACGTACGGCGATCTAACAAGCATAGAAATTTTATGCGTAGTGATATATCGTATGGCGATATAATTCGTAGTGATCTAGAATTCTAATTACACCAGCGATAACATATTAATTTACTTGGAAATCCGTTTTTAGAAACCAATTACAGTACTATCTCTACCTAAATAACAAATGAAAAGAAAATTCAGGAAACAATTCGATACATTCGATGAATCTTGATGAAACTAAATCGTGAAAGTCTGCGGAATGAATAAATCATGATCACCACTCATAATGCAACCGAAATCTGCATATACGCGTAACGACGCGACGTATGCCAGCCAGTCGACGATGTCGGAGCTCCATTCATTATTACTGACGTCCCTCTCCTCATCGAGCGGGTGGTAGTCGCAATTAAAAAACATTCACAAGTCTGGCGCAGCGTCGAGACGCAATCCACTTTGTCGGAGGATTCTCTCTCTCGATCCATATCCATCTCCGTTGCTCGCGGGACACGAGGCAGTTACGGAAGTATGACTCAGAGAGACGCGAGAAGGAAGGATCGATCAGCCCACGGGACGATTGTCTCTAGGCGCCGCGACGTCTAGCGTCGGCACACGCACCTTTCAGCGAACCACCCCGGCGCGTACACCACCGCTACACGGAGAAACGGTTCTTCGACGTTTGTCGATTTATAATTCACCGGCGACATATTGGCGACCGTTCGTTCCAGAGTTCAATGCACTTTTGATGCGTCCACCAGGAACATATCGATCGATAAAGCATTCAATAATATACATATATACACACGTATATATGTATATTTTTTTTCAGTTATGAAAATACCAGACAAATAGAAAACAACATTGATTTTTACTGTGTACTATTATACAGTTGAGTTTGAAAGTGTTTTACGTAAGGAAAATTGATATGTCAGTTGATTTTTTATGATCGAAAAGAATCTTTTTTTAGTTAGTCTTTGAGTAGTAAGACCTGAGTCTATTGCAAAAATAATATTTATCACCTTAATCCATCTAAGGCAAGTAATCTGTTAAATTGAAAATTATTAAAGCTCACAAAGAGTTATCTCATTATTATAGGTTTCTATAAGCGACACAGAGTACGCTTTTAAAAACCGAAGTTAACAGGTTGCATAATTCTCTCTAGTGTAATGTGATAAATCGAGTGTAATCACGAATGAATGGATGAAAGCGACGACGAGTCGGTCGTTAATTAATGAAATAAAAAGGTGAGAAGCATACTCACTGATGAACTTCACTTTCTTCGGTTGTTTAGTCCGTGGCTTTCCTTTGCCACTGGGCTTCTTGAAGGGCGCATTGCCCCTCTTGCTTCCCGCTTCGAAAATTGAGAATCAATGAGAGTGCCGTATTATCCCCGTGGGGACCAGGGAAACGGGGATCGTTGCGCTTTAATTATCGGGAAATCGATGCAACCGTCTACTCGGTATCGGCCGGCAAACCAGAGGTGGCCATCTTGGGCCGCACCCCGATCGTTTTTGCGAAGGCTCTCACCCGTGGAGCACGTGCGTAACTACTTCCCTAATCTTGTACGATTTGTGAAGATTTCAGATTGCTCATTGGCTTAAAAAAATCATTTTTTACAAGATATCTAGTAGATACCAAGTTCTGAACCGGTCGCATTAAGCTTCTACATTTTGAAGGGAGGTGGACATGTATGAAAGCACCATGAATACCGATTGGTAGAGAGTCGAGAAATTGATTGAACTGCAAGCGTCGAAAATAGTACGTCGTATCGGTCGCCGATTGAAAATGCCTCAGTTAAGTTTTAAAAACCGTAGTATTTAATCGGATTGTCGATCACGATTGAAAGAAAGGAACAATCTACTACCATGGATTATAGAGCGGATTTATCGTGTAAATAAAAAACGGTGATTCGATAAATATAAATCTGACAGTTGAGAGAAACAGGCAATATGCAAAATTGTTGGTATCAAAAGTACCACCGATCAGTCGTACTCCCAATTTAACTCTGCACGTATTCCGCCATGAAAAAACACGGTTGCATCTTTTCCCCTGAGAGCGTTAGCACATCGATCAGAAACGAAAGAAAGAATAGATGACGAAAAACTCACCTACGATGTCCAAGGGTGCCTTGCAGCTGTGACAAAAGCACTGCAGCACTGAGTCGCGCACGAGACCAATCAGCATGTTTCTGTCTTACCGTCCGTGTTTGAACGAAACGAGAAGAAATCTCGACGGAAAGACGAGCGGGAGAATAAGGGAAATAAGGGAACGTAGAAGAGTCGACGAGAAGACACGTCCGACGAGCAAAGAGGAGGGCCGGAAGTGGCTGAACTCGTATCTGGGGCGGTGGCTGGAGGGCGACTGATCCGCACAGTGCGCCACGACGCCCGGCGTCGCTCAATATCCACCCACCGGCACCTCTTGCGCCCCTAGCCACGGTAGACCACCCCTTGCAACCGCCACCAGCCTACCCGACGACAAGCCACCCTTCCACCTCTGCTGCTAACCTCCAACCTCCAACCTCCACCTCGAACAGCCTTAGCATACCTATAGCGTGGACCCGGCTGCCGGTCGCTAGGCACGTGTGGAAGCCTATGCTTGGAGGCGTAAAATACCATCTGTCCAACCCCACCTACCGGGTACAGACTCTTAAACCAAGTCTCTGAGACACCTACCCACCATCCTTTGGTCGATGCATCATTTTTTTTTCGCGCTACCTTTCCGCTCTTTAATTGTATACTACTGAGACAATTGATATAATAGATTTTTTTAACCCCTTCTGCGTATCACATTCAACTAACAGGATCATAGAATTTTGGAACTTTATGATTTTGATATTTTGCCAGTTGGGGACTTTAGGGCATTAAGACTTTGAACTTTGGAACATCGATACAATGGAACTTCGAAATTTTATAAAATAATGCGTCACAGCCAAGGTACTACCACGACAAGAAACGAAGGACACATTAATGTACCAGCCAAATCTCTATGTTCAAGTGTTGAATCAGCCCTAAATTAGCAGAAAAATTTACGAATTGATTTTTAACAAGTGAATGTGACTTTATTACAAACATGATAGAACTGTTATAGAAAATTGAAGCCCAACGTGTGTATGTATCACAGGTGGGAGTATCATGGAACCTTCCCCGTTAAGCCGTACAATAAAACAAAGCAATCGATAGATTTCTTTTCGAATGTCCTATCGTGTATGCATACCATAATGAATCTAAAATAGCTCTACAGTGCTTTTTCCTCGGTTTATCGATTTTACAGTTCGCGCAGATTTTACATAACCGGCGTCCTAATTCGCGAGGTACCTTATAAATCTGATGGTTGCTGTACTCGGCTGCGACACCGGACGACTCTGCAATATACACTTCGGGGAAGTGGAAGTGCTGAGAAATCTTTTGATTGTTCCAGTATCCATGTTAAGTATACTCGAATTTACTTTAAGACATGGACAAGAGGCTGTTCGCTTGTCTCGGCTTAATATCTTCTTTTTTATATTCCGATCGTATCTGGGGCGGTGGCTGGAGGGCGACTGATCCGCACAGTGCGCCACGACGCCCGGCGTCGCTCAATATCCACCCACCGGCACCTCTTGCGCCCCTAGCCACGGTAGACCACCCCTTGCAACCGCCACCAGCCTACCCGACGACAAGCCACCCTTCCACCTCTGCTGCTAACCTCCAACCTCCAACCTCCACCTCGAACAGCCTTAGCATACCTATAGCGTGGACCCGGCTGCCGGTCGCTAGGCACGTGTGGAAGCCTATGCTTGGAGGCGTAAAATACCATCTGTCCAACCCCACCTACCGGGTACAGACTCTTAAACCAAGTCTCTGAGACACCTACCCACCATCCTTTGGTCGATGCATCATTTTTTTTTCGCGCTACCTTTCCGCTCTTTAATTGTATACTACTGAGACAATTGATATAATAGATTTTTTTAACCCCTTCTGCGTATCACATTCAACTAACAGGATCATAGAATTTTGGAACTTTATGATTTTGATATTTTGCCAGTTGGGGACTTTAGGGCATTAAGACTTTGAACTTTGGAACATCGATACAATGGAACTTCGAAATTTTATAAAATAATGCGTCACAGCCAAGGTACTACCACGACAAGAAACGAAGGACACATTAATGTACCAGCCAAATCTCTATGTTCAAGTGTTGAATCAGCCCTAAATTAGCAGAAAAATTTACGAATTGATTTTTAACAAGTGAATGTGACTTTATTACAAACATGATAGAACTGTTATAGAAAATTGAAGCCCAACGTGTGTATGTATCACAGGTGGGAGTATCATGGAACCTTCCCCGTTAAGCCGTACAATAAAACAAAGCAATCGATAGATTTCTTTTCGAATGTCCTATCGTGTATGCATACCATAATGAATCTAAAATAGCTCTACAGTGCTTTTTCCTCGGTTTATCGATTTTACAGTTCGCGCAGATTTTACATAACCGGCGTCCTAATTCGCGAGGTACCTTATAAATCTGATGGTTGCTGTACTCGGCTGCGACACCGGACGACTCTGCAATATACACTTCGGGGAAGTGGAAGTGCTGAGAAATCTTTTGATTGTTCCAGTATCCATGTTAAGTATACTCGAATTTACTTTAAGACATGGACAAGAGGCTGTTCGCTTGTCTCGGCTTAATATCTTCTTTTTTATATTCCGAAAATGCAGTCTCATTGCATGAATCTGATACGAGAAGTTGGTCGCTTTCTCGATCTTTGAGAAACGACTGGTCACTTTTTCATGTACGAAAGATGTGTTTCTTATTGGACACGCCCTTTGTCGTTAAATCTGGCTGACTGACCGTGCGTTTCATTCATTTTCTCGATTCCCCTCGGTTATTGTTCTAAGGAGAATCGATATAAAGGGATACGCAACAATGCGACGAAGGAAATCGTGCTCTGCAATATCTAGGCCGCAGAGAACGGCGATCCGTTGTTCCGTAAAGTTTGCCATTTGACGAGGACGATCGAACAATCGTAATGTACGGTACCCGTGACGCAGTACGGCCGAAGGATACACAGCATAAAGTGAATGAATCTTCCACACATGGATCGATATTGTGGAATATTTTCAGAACTCGGAACCGGGGGAACAGGCAACGTTAATAATGCAGTCGCCCCCTTTTTCCGCTGGTCACGAACCAGGCTAAATTGCGCAGAAATCGAAATAGTGGAAACCAACTGCATCAACCAAACATTCTTTTTTGATCCAACTAAATTCCGCCTCTGATATTCGTCACATCTGTAACGAGTTTAAAAATACGTATTTCTTGAGGTTAATATTTTTAAATTGGTTTCGTGTGCGGGTACTTGAAAAAAAGAAGTTCATTCGAACGGAATTTTGATCCCGTATGGCGTTTAATGAGCTTCGCTCGCTCGTTACACCTAAATTGGATTTAAAGAAGCGTTAACAAAAATGAAAGAAAAAGAAAAAGAGACGGAGACAGTTGTCCAGCCGAGAAAAATCGACGTGTTTTATCGTCGTATATTCCCTTTAAGGCAAGAAGAAATTTAACGAGTTTCACTCGGGGAAATGCTTATGGACATTTCACTCGATGTATCCCGCACGCTGCCAGGCAATTGGATTAACCTACGCACTCCAATGTCACCGTGTGCTTTTGTACGATACTTAAAGTCAACCGAGAGTTAAGCGAGCCGTCCTTACACGTGTGCTACACAGTCTGAACTTCTACACGAGATGTGACATATGTAAAAAGGAAAAAACCTACAAAGTGTTCAATGTATTCGAAATCGGTGGCAGACCAGTTACGTGGTATACTATTCACATGATACATACGGCAACGCACCAGGTGCGTTTTATGCTATTTGCACGATGCAAACTACAACGAACCGGGTGCGTCCTGTGTTCTTAACACTTATGCGTTCTATGTTTATACTATTACAAATAATGACACATAATGTGCCATGCTATTTACACTGTTATAAATGACAACGCAACCAGTACGTGCAATGCTATTTATACTATTGCAAACCACGACGTATCCGAGAGAAGAAGAAAGAAAAGTGTACAAAAAATAAATAATTTATCGGTAGATATATTACAATTACGAGAAGAGATTTAACTCTTGAGGTTTATCGTGTAATAGAAGGTGGTTGCTGAAACGGATCAAATCGCGTGCCAGCGATTGTGAAACAACGTTATTTATCGATAGACGACACTTATGCTGGGCTCGTTACATCGCGATACTGTCCAGTAATGGGAGATCAATACGATCGTTCTGCACGCAATTATTCGCGTTGCGAAATTGGTTGGAATCGTCGTGCTCATTCGATGCAATGCAGTTCCATTCATTTTCATAAATTGAACGAAAAGCACGAACAGAAAATTTCTCTCTTCGTTAAAAACAAGTTAGCTTTTCTACCTGCGAAAATTAGCATTAAATTAGTGATCATGAGTAGTTACCAAGGATAACGAAGTTATACCCAATAAAAAATGAATTTGAATTATATAAAGAATGAATATCTTTAAGTATCGTATGAATTATTTATTTAAAAAATGGCGCATTTTATTGAAATAGTTAGGGATTGAGAACCGCTGAAAAGCGTTCGAGCACTGCAGTTGAGTTGAGCTGCAGTTGCCACGGCGAAGTGCAGCCTGCACTTCTCCGAGGACGCCAATGGAGGGCTCTGACCTCTTCTCGGCAACTATCTACTTTCCGTTGCCTTAGGGTGTGTTCCTACTACCACCTAAATTGCCTTCCTAATTAAGGATCCTTTGTCACATTGGCTCTACCATCGAAACGCAAATATCGCGTTGCATACGGCATTTCACCATCGTAATTAGTTTCTCATGAACAGAGATTTCAATGCATTACCAGTGACAATTCCGAAATTTTAATAATTTGAAAGTAACATCGCAAATAAAATATAATTGAACGCCAATATATTGATAATTCATTACCTTAAAGACTTCCATTACTGCATCGAATTAACTATAAAATATAAATATTTATAGGTACTTTGCAGTTCAATAATTTTTAAAATTTTGAAATTTGGAGCTTAATAAAATATTACACTACATCGAATGTACCTAGGAAAATCGTAATTTCAAAACTAAATGTTGGTCAATAAAATTTTAGGAGTCTCCTACATCAATTTTCAAGAGTCAAAAATATATTGTTTTTAAAATACTATATTCAATTACCACCAAGAAAATGTCTAATCACGCGATATCGCGTTCAAGATACTTAATGCTCAAACGTCGCGGCACACAGCAACCAACCCGCTTCTCATATACTAATGCATTAGGGAAAACAAGCATTTACTTAAAATACTAAAAGAGAAAAAACAGTTTTGAAACATAAAAGACATATTAATTCTCCAAAGTGTATTATTTAGTAAATTCATATGTATATTATATATCACATAATTTCATAGAAAGTTGCTATAAAAATGTCACCACTTACATTCACTGCTGACGGGCGATTCTGTAGCAGTAGCCATTGCAGAATTGCTGTAAAATAATATATCTTGATTTCATTCCAGATTTTCAAAAAATCATGCGAAAAATTTTGATAATGTATTTTGTACACATTTGTCTTTGATACATGATTTCTACTTTTTATTACGTCGAGTGCGAGAAACTCGTTTCGAGAACAAAGAAAGTACACAAAGAAGCAATGCGCTATTTATATATTGTATCTAAATTTTTCCCAACTTGAAGTTTCTCGTTCAAAATTCCATTACGAAGAAAATAAATTTAACGAAATATGTAATGCCTTTTATGCAAACACCGTATACAAAGGATATACGGTTCTGCGCATCTTACAGTTACGTAAAAGGAGCAACTGTATTTCAAATTTATTCAGTTGTCTTACTGAAGTCAGCTTCGATAAAATATTGCCAAGTAATCTGTATTAAATCTACCACAATTTTACAATCAAGAAAATCGAAATTAATTTTCTTTGTATGTATTTCGCGTAATAAAAATCCTGAAAGACTTGTTTTAAATATCCTCGTAGGTAGTCGAACCTGATGATTTACTTCTACGCATGATCGCGTTCAAGAAAATGTACCGCAGTCACACTCTAAAAACGAATGCGGAAGACGTCGATTACTGTCATCGAACGAATACAACAAACATAAATTCTTTGTTTAATCATTTATCGGATACGTACTACAGAGATAAATAAATGAGCCGGCGTCTTTCTTTGTTCGAGTTCGTAGCGTCATTTGTCACTATGCAAACAGAACACAAATTTCAAATAAATGCTCTATTTACCTGCTTCTCACGTTCGAGGAACGAAGAAGATTACTCTACACTAAATATTGTAAATCCTGCGACAGGAACAACTAACACTGGACAATAATGCAAGGAGATCTGAACGGTCGCTGGACTCTCTGGCTGCTTTTATTGCGACATGTAAGCATCCCTGTGTATTCCAGCGGTTAACATCAGTTACATATACGGTTACACGTACGGCACATGCATATGTTTGATCCATGTGTTCGATGGTTCATGCGCTTTCATTGGTCAAGCTAAATGATCAGTGCATCGTGATTGGTCCGTTTGAATTCAGAGCGTTGGTGAATGAAAAGGGGCATTCATACCAAGCGAGCAAATGCTCCTATTTATTACATTTGGATAATATTAAACATAAACGAACATTCTTCTAATGTTCGGTCATTGTGACCGCATGCTCTAAGAATCAAAGATCTCAAATTTTTTTTCAATGTAATTCGATTCATTTCAACAGAATTCAATTCAACACAAATTTCGATTGGCCACGATTTAATTCATCGTAAAACTGTTTGATGTGACTGAACAGTTAGTTTAGTTATTACTTACGTTAAACGAGCACGAACGAATGTTCTTATTCTTGTTCGTTAAATACAAATGCTCCTTAAAAACATGTTACACGAATCTTTTATTATGCATTTGCGGTACCGTTTCCATTGTTTAAATGTATCGTTGTAAACATGTTCGTACAAAGCAACCGCTGTTTTTGTTTGCCAGATTGAAATCCTTGATAATGTCACTTCATTTCTGATATTTGCACTCGTTCAACAATAAAACAGTTAACAGATTCAAAGCACAAAATATATTTCTTTAATACATTTTATTTATTGAATTAAATGCGAATTTTGTTTATAATCATCATGATATATTTTACACAATTTTTACAAATATAATAACTTGTAATAAATGGCTACATTATATATGTTACAATAGCAGACGCTTTGTTACAATATACATGTGCGTATTTTTGACTACCACACGGTCACACCATTTAAAAAAGATTCATTCTGGATGAATCATGTGTCTGCATCTCCGGTAACGTGCGTACCAACGTGTGGGAAGTTGTGACCGTTGTGCGACCATAAGAATATAAAAATGTATTCCAAATATGGTCGAGTCGTTATAACTGGTTTCGATGCTTTTCCAAGACACTATGTATTCGTTTATACTTCAACTAATTGTCCCTAATTTCATCGTCGCTAACTATTCCAAATTATACAATTTTGTTTACCTAACGTTTGCCGATTAGGTTTCCAAATTAAACTACATACTGATATTATTTACTGTAATGGTCAAACTAATGTAACAAAACATTTATACCTGTCTACATATTTTAATACGAAAACAGTAAAATATAATACTTGCTAAGAACTTTTGAAACTAAATGAATTAATACATTGTTTTAAGTAAACTTTTTGAAGCAATAATGGTTAAAGAAGAAGACGTTTTACTTATTATATTTTTAATATTACTAATTTCCCATAGTAAAATATATACGTCAAAATTGCATATGCTTATAGTAATACATTTGTATCAAATTGATTATTGTACAAATACAACTTATATGTATATATTTCTTGAATAGGGCAGCGTTCTCATCTTCATTGTCATGATTTATAGAACTAAATGATAGTTATGTTATATTGAGCAAACACACATATATATATATATAAGTGTATTATTATTGTTTGAAAATGAAAATTCATTGAGGTAGAATATTCTAAATATTATGTATAGTGAGAAAAGAATCCTGGACATTTCTGCAACATAAAATGTTTCATTAGATTTTGTTCACTTCTTGTTTACATAAATTACATATTGAATCGAATCATGATTGCAAAATTATAAAAAAATTATTTAGAAAGAAACGATAAAAAAATGTATCTTGTACTTGCAATAAATACTTAATGCTGTAGAGAATAATTCACTGATAAAAATAAAAATCATTTGCAACTGTTTCAGTTTACTTATCCTTCCTCTTTGCATATAAAATATAATATAGTTTCAGGTAACCAATTGTCCTAACTAAACGCAGATCATATTATTGCCTCAACTTTCATCGTATAAAGGTGTACCATCTCCGCTAAGAGACATACTACGAGGACTAGAATTCGTGAACGGAGTTCCTCTAGGAGATTTGTACGACGGTGTACGAGCAGAAGGGGTTCTGTTACGTGGAGTCGCTCTTTCGTTAGAGACTTCCAGAGTTCTTGGTGTTTTTCTAGATTCATCATATCTTGAAGTAATATTGCTAAAATAAAAAGAATAATGTTATATTTCTCATTCAAATACAACATCCGTACCATGCACGAGAACTTACAATTCTTTAGAAGTGGATTGCTTTGAACGTGCCCATGCCTCTGCAGCTTTTGACCAATTCGTTGCATCATCGGTAGAAGAGACAGCTCTATGAGATCTGACAGTTCTGTGGGAATTTGCATTCATGGCAGGAGGAATTGGTTGCAAAAACGGTCCTTGGGAATGACTGGGCGTTTGCGGATGGTGAGGTGTATGGTGTGGAGTATGATAAGGAGTCATAAATGGAGTTTGTCCAGAAGGTGTATAAGGTGTACTCCCATACAATCCGTAATTAGTGACACTGGCAGCTCCTGGAGTATATGGTGGATAATGGTGTGGTGTCTGATTCGCTACTTTAGAAAGGGAGTGCAGCATATGATGTGGCATGTTTTGTGCCACCCTTTGTATCGCGTCCGAATTTACTCCTGAAGTGATAAGATACGATTAAAATCACTTACAAAGACTACACATTTTTATATCATGCATTTTACCATTAACTCCTGGAGTACCATTATACGGTGTTCTGGTAGTCATAGCTCCATGTGGAGTACCCGGTGTACTTTGCCCAGGTATAGGATCTCTGAAATGTTCCTTGAACCAACGGAATAAATCGTTTACTCTACTAAACATTTGACCTCTAAATCGAAATCCATCCGGTGTTATGGTTACATACTCATGACGACAACGAGTTCGTGGTAAGTACGAAAGCATGAATTTTCCAGGATAATTCTAAAACGTAAAATAAATATTAAATTTCTAATAAATGTACTAGTAAATAACAAACACTTGAATTATTTTTACCTTAGCAGCAGATACAATATATGGTATTCCACCAGGATTTTGTTTTTTCTGTTCTTTTAAAATTTCTTCTGCTTTATCCTTGATACCCTCGACATTTGATTTATAATATTTAAAATCTAAAAGTTCCGAAACATATGCAGACATTGGATTGATGTGCCTTGCAATAATTTCGTCTAAATCTTCAAATTCTTCACTGCCAATCCATAAACTACGACCCAAGGAGAATGTGTTTTCCTTGCCTTCCTCTCTTACATCAATGTGTTGGTAAATATTGTCAGTAACTTTCCACGTTACTGTCAAATGATCAGATCCTTTACTGCTTGGTCTTATGATCGCCTCTCCTTGTTTCACGGTTTGCATTAATTTTTCAACTTCAGCAAAGCTTATGTTATGAAAACTGGGATGAATTATGACACGTTTCACATAGGTCTGCCTTTGCTGTACCTTTTTAGCATCTTCTTCCACTTTCAAATCTCTTTCCTCTGCCTCTGTATCATAATAAACGTCCCTTTGTGGTCTGAAAATAATTTGCATAAGATATAATGTATGAAAAATTAAATAATAACTTTCATTTGATACATTACCGCCATTCATGGTTTTTATCAAGAAGATCGCTTGATTTACTAGTACATTCAATACTGAATCTTTCCACTTCTATTTTTATTATGCGGCAATGAATTACTTGACCAACGCGCACTCTCTCCTCTGGATTAGCAACATGTTTATCCGACAAATTTTTCACATGAATGTAACCAGATATCCCATTATCTAATCTCAAGCGAACTCCTGTTGCTTTTCCTGGACATGCACCAGCATCAAAGTGGTTCCATACTTCGGACAATTCGGGAAAATCATTTTTCAAACAGAACGGACATTGCCATAAACCAGTCTCGTCGTTTCTAACAGGATTTGCTTGATCCAGTTGATCTCCTTGTGGTTTTCTGTGAGTTATTCCAACGACCGTTGCCAGGACTAATTTGCCAACGTAAAATGTTTCTGGAGTCTCTTTTGTAAGAATATCAAACAGTTTTTCAGCACTTAGAGATTGATAAGGTACTCGAAGATCTTTATATCTAGAATTCAGTTCAGCTCTTATATCATAAAGAGTAATACACTTGTTTCCAAAACCCTGCCTCTCAAGCTCTTCTGCAAATGCATCTAGATCCAGATCCTTCAATCTTTCTGGTGATTCAAGGATTTCTTCTAGAGCACCAGCAGGATTTGCGTCCTCGTCATCGTATTCTAAAGCATCTACTGCCATTTTTCTTGCCCATTCGTAAGTTTCTGGATGCACACGGGATCCATCTAACACTTCCACATATGCCTCTGTGCTGTCCCCTAAACTATTTGTATCTATTTTAATAAATCCAGCACAATTGACGAAAACTTTCGGTCCCATGTGACACGCTGTAATAAGCTGCGTCCTATTTTCTAGTCTTTGATTGGTCTGTTTCAAGATCTTAATCAAAGCTTGCCCTTTCCTAGGACCCAAACCGCACACAAATTGTACTAAATTTGCCGTGTAAGGCTGTTGTACTGCTCTATTCAAATCTACCCCCACTTCGTTTATACGATTTATAAATTCTAAATAAATATTCTCTATAAGATCCTCTTTAGGAAGTTGATCTTGTAAAGGATGATATTTAAGGCACATAATTTCTTCATCTATAGTACATAATTGTGAAAACTCTAACAAAGGATCTTGTAATCTTCTTGCTAAAGACACAGCTTGCCTCAACAAATCTGGATAATCTCTGAATTCAGAGACACCTCTATTGCTATTTGCGTAAACTTTCGCAAGCTCATTATCTACTATCTCTACTTGAATCGTAGGGAATTGTTCATCTTCTGCTAGATTAGTAATACATTCTTTCACATCAGCCGCTATCATTAATGCTTCTCTAGATTCACCACCTATCACCACAACGTGCGGCTTTTTTGTAGCGATGAAATTCCTAATCGCTAACAAATCAGCTTCCTTCATCATCTTTTCATTTTCCTTAAAACTGTTCTTGCGTTTCATTAAATGCGGTAACCTCAGGTAATCTGTACATTCTCCTTCTGGAGAAACTACACACGCAAAAGCGGATTGAGATGTATCAGGTACATAAGCCAAACCCATTACGCGAATTCCTCTACTAGTATTCCAATCTTCGTCGTCTTCTTCAGGGAATTCACAAGTATACGGAGCAATTTTAATCCAATTATACATTTTACGACAACAGGCCTTCATGACGCATTCTTTTGACTCTGTTAAAAGATTAGATCGTAATTCTTTTTTCAACTGTGGTATAATAATACGATTTAAAGCCGCTTCAACACTACCAGTTCTTAGAGCGTTCCAATCTTGAACACTCTTACTAAATTCATCTCTGTAATACAATTGTTTTATCTCATCGATGTAGTTGTTAGTAGTATTTCCTTCTATAATGTCACTAAAGGAAATAGTGATCAATTTGTCCTGTTCCGCTATAAATAATTTTAAAAATTGATCACCAACGAGATCTCGTACAGGCTTATCTTTAAGGTATTTCACTCCATAAAGTACATGATTTTCATCAATTTCTTTTATTCCTTTTTTAGTTGGTATTACGGATATTTTGGCTCTTTCCATGTACATTTCTCTAACACACTTACGTACCAATGGTTCATGTGCTAATTGAATCGCGACCATTAATTGTACAGCATTAAGCACATCATCGTTCGTCTTAAAGGTCGTTGAACAAAATTCATTTGCTACTACTGTAGGTTCTAGTGGTTCTTGATCTACTTCGTGACGTTGGTAATTATCTCTAAGATTCTCGGCAAAATGTTCTGGAGAGAGACCGAACTTTTTAGCAAGACTATCCAAACCAGCCTTCTTACATATAAAATAAGGGCCTTTCCTAACTGGCTGTTTTAATGTATCATCTGCCTCTTCATCGTCATCTTCCGCAGCAACAAGCTCTTCAGGAGGTTCTTCCCCATTTTCTTCAGCTTCCGCAATTTGCTGCCTCCTTTTTTCAAGCCTAGTTTTTTTCCGATCTTCTTTTTCCTTTTTACGTGTATGTTCTTGCATCGCCGACACATCCTGACTATAGTAAAGCATAAAGTGTCGATAAATATCATTCAATTCTTCGAAAGTCTGAGCATTTCTAAGGCGCTCGATGTCCTCATCTTTAATAATCCGTACATTTTCGGGCAACGGAGCATCAGGATTTTTCATGATCTCGTCCAATTGGTAGTTTCTCATTTTGTCAAACAATTTCAATAAATTTTCCTTCCTTTGTTTAAGCTGACACCATTTTGCGTCGAATTTGTATATTTTCCATAAATCGTTAATATTCAATTCCGGCAGGACATACTCTTTCCTATAAAACGAGATGAAAGGAACTTCAAAGTTTTGATTGCGCATAAAATCTAAAGCTTTTTTAATTTTGCCGACTGTTTGTGGACCCTTTTTAGCTCTTTCTTTGGCTTCTTCATTTAAATGAGCATCTTGTACTGAAATCGTGGGTTGACAGAATGCCTGTTTGTATATCCATTCTGCCTCAAGGTCTAACTCATCAGAACCTTCGGCTGTTGGTGTAATTGGTACAGTACGAAGTTGCATACGTTCAGGAATGTCTGTAGTGCGGATCTGAAATATTTAAGTCACGGTATAATAAATAATATTAATAATAATATTATTACTAACAACAGAACTAAAACGGATTTTAATAATTACCTCATTATCAATATCCGTGAAATGTCCACGAATAAGTTCACTAGGTTCATACACTTCGAAAATGCTTTTCTTCGTGCTTTTTTTCTTAAGAAGCTTCTTCGATCGTCTAGGTCGATCTTCTCCCGACTCATGAAGATATTCAAGATCATCATCCTCTTCTTCTTCTTCAAACTCATCTTCTCCATATTTTTCAAACTCATCATAATCAAAATCGATACCAAAAATATCTTGAGCTTCTTGTAAGGCCCTATAGTATTAAAATACACGTTTACATTGTATTAAATTTCTGGATATACTATTTTAATAATGAAAACAACTTACGCATCTGTGAAAATTGGTTTCCTTTTCTTTCTTTTTTCAGCTATAGGTACTCCATCACCATCTACAATAAAGTCATCTTCATCTTCACTCTCTTCTTCGTCAAATGCTTCCACTTCAGGTCTATGACTAACTTCACTTCTTGCCTCATCTTCCTATATACAAAATTAATTTACTTTTAATTTTTGCACCTAGTACTTTTAACTTTTACATAAGTTACACATAGGAGCTTACTTCTCCAGAGCCTGTAAATAGTTCATTAGCAATTGCATCTCTTTCGTCACCTGCCTCCCTGTCTTCCTCCTCTTCTGATTCTTCATCTTGTATCCTACGTAAACGCTTAAAACGACGTTTCTAAAACAATGAAATTAATTAATATATCAAACAATAAAATCAATTAACATAATAGACTATATGGTGTTCTTTTATTTTCTTAATTATATATACCCTTTCAACTTTGACTCCTAAATTTTCTTCTAACAGATCATAGTCTTCATCTTCCAAACGATCATCAAAATCTTCATCATCACTTTTCTTCCGTTTTCCAGACCTTTCTGATCCATCGCTATCTTCACCATCATTATCATCCTCAATTGGATTATCATCAATAAGACCTGGGACTTCTCCCTCATCTTCTAAGCATAAAAATAGACACATATTACTACGAAAGAAATATCTTACTTTAAATATATCTTAGAATCTTAAAAAAAAACTCTGTGAGTGAAGACAGTATACATATATTTTCACGGTTTTTTCCTACCGTCATCGTCTTCCTCGTCACTGTCATGCATTGCTTTCAATTTTTTAAGTTTTTTCCTTTCGTTTATATCCAGTTCCTCCTCCTCCTAAAATACAATAACACATTAGGTTATATGAAATCAAACTATAAGTCTTCGCATACTTTAATACTTACCTCACTTTCCTCCGCTTCATTGTCCAAGTAATCAGCCATTTTTTATTACAAATACAGAAAGTTTTGAAAAAAAATATTTTTATAGAAAATTTAAGAATAAATTGGAAAAATAAATGGAAAGGATTTACTTTGCTTTAAGAAGTAAATCGTGACATCTGTACAGCTGTTCGACATGTACCATAAAGGCTGGCTTACAAAGGAATATTTTAGCTTTAAATCAGCTGACGTACGAGAAATACGATTGGTCAAGTATATTCTTTTTTTCTTCTTTTAATTTAGCCGCAGCCTTATAAGCGGAAGTAAACTGATCATTGGTGTAGTAAGTAACCTTCCTGTGTGATTCGCTATTCATGTGCTCCCGATGTGGTTTGTAAATTCCTCAATAGCGTGTTAGTATTGCATAGAAACCGAAGATAATAACGTGAAGAAATAACGCGTGAAATGATCAGGATACGAATTTGAAACCAGGAAATATATCACAAGGATGACGACTAACAAAGAATCCACACATGACAACCTTTTGGAAAGGCTTGTCAAAAATGAAAAAGAGGTTGTGAAATGCCGAAGTAGTGCGGATAACATTGAAGGGCATAAATTACGACATGATACAGACAGTTTTCCAAATATCAATGCAAGACCGGTTGATGATATTTCAATCGAATTCTTTTATAAACCTCACAGCATTACGTTGCTTCTTATTGCAATTGGTGCTGTAATATACTTTGCTTTTACTAGGTAATGAAACATTTATATATCTATTAATTATGCAAATTTGAAACATTGTAGATAATAGTGTTAATTCAACACAGGAACACTACCAATGTTGAAGACAATATTTGGGCTGGAATACTATGTATCATATTTTTTTTTCTTATTATATCAATACTCACATTTCCAAATGGACCATTTACGAGACCTCATCCAGTTGTTTGGAGACTTGTATTTGGCTGTAGTGTACTGTATCTAATGGGCCTGTTATTTATGTTATTTCAAGATTATGAAACAGTCAGAAAGATCTTTGTTTGGATAGATCCTGGCTTGGCATCATTTCATATTGATATGGACAAAGAATATGGTGTTAATTGTTCTGATATTACATTAGAGAGGATATGGAGTCATTTAGATATTTTTGCGGCAGCCCACTTCTTAGGGTGGACCTTTAAAGCAATATTGATTCGCCATTTTGGTATTCTTTGGGCCATTAGCTTAATGTGGGAAGTAACAGAAATAGCATTTGCTCATTTACTACCAAACTTTGTGGAATGTTGGTGGGATGCTTTTATACTTGATGTGGTTGTCTGTAATGGTTTGGGTATCTGGGTAGGATTAAAAATTTGTTCCCTTTTGGAAATGCGAGAATATAAATGGGTAAGCATTCTTGATATTGAGAGTACCACTGGAAAATTGAAGAGAGCAATGCTACAATTTACTCCTGGTAGTTGGACCGCTGTTAGATGGTTGGATCCAACTTGTACATACATGAGATTTGTTGCTCTAAGTCAGTTGGTCATTTTCTGGCAAGTTTCAGAGCTAAACACATTTTTCTTGAAACATGTGTACGAATTTCCTCCTTCCCATCCATTTGTTGTAGCAAGATTAATACTCATTGGAGTAATTGTTGCGCCGTCTGTTAGGTAGGCAATGATTATAGTAATAGAATGAACCAGATAAAATTAATTATAAATTTCTTTTTAACACATGCTTAACAATATTTGTGCTAAAAAATATATTTCATTATAAATTGTAGGCAGTACTATATGTACGTAACAGATCCAACATGTAGTAGAGTAGGGACTCAGTGTTGGGTTTATGGTGCAATTATGGTAACAGAAGCATTACTATGTATTAGGCATGGTGCTGCGTTGTTTGAACGCACTCAAGCATTAAATATTCTTTTATGGCTCCTTTGCCAGTCTCTAGTCTCGGTCCTTTGTGTCTATGGCTGTGTTCTGTGGCATCAGTACTTTGAGGTACGTGTTCTGTGCTTTCGAATTGAATGATCAATCATTTTGTAACTAACTGTATGAATATTTGTGATTTTTTTGAAATGCCTTGTGCATGGCTCTCATATTTCCAGACAGGAAAAAAAGTTGCTTCAAAACAGTCTATTACTCAGCTAGACAACAGCCATCTGGATGTAATCCCTAGCAGTGGTATGTGTTAAATCTACTACATTCAAAGCATAAATAACATTTCATACTAAGCCGATAGTGTACTGGGCTATTGACTTATAATTAACTGATTACTAAATATAAAGCAAGAGTGCTACAATCTGTTATATAACTAGCATTAATGGTATCAACACATAATAAATTGTGTCATGGATGCTTTTGTTTCGTGTCCTCAATGGAAGATGAGTTTTTATATATGTGGATGTTGTGTTATATTAATAATATTTATATAATATACAGACAAAAGTAAGTGTATAGACGCACGAAAATGTTCCTGATTTATTGTATAAATTTGTACATATAAAAATAAAATATACATTTGTCACAGCTCAGTTCATCATTGGTTTATTAGATGCAAAATTAATGCATATTTACAGTGATCAATGTATGTTTCAGGGAGTATGGTTCATTTTACAAAATCTATGGATTCACTGGAAAAGAAGAAATTGTGAACATGTTCATAACAAAGAACGACCGACTTAAGGTTGTACTGTTTATACTATTAAACTTTCTAGTCGCATCATAAGAGCATACAGAAAAGACTATTCGAATTTAGTAGACTACCAGTGAATGTATGAATTCTTTTGAATTTTGTGTCTGTTTGAGTATGAACACTATGGAAAATATCTTGTTCCTGAGAATAAAACGAAGAGCGTCGTTACCACTTAATTATGCTTCCTTATAAAGAATTGGTCGCTCTATCACTTAAGTTGCTTCAGTCGCATCGTCACACTCAAGATACGGGAACGGAGTGCACGTGTAACTTGGCATTATCTGCGAACCATCCGGACATTTCCAAGCTTTACCGAGGAGCTTGTTGTTTGATGCAGAAACAAAAATACGAATTCGACTCGGTAATTGCTCGTTCTCATATAACGATATATACGATGACGTAAGTGGTGACTTTGTACAATGCGTCTGTAAGCGTGATAGAAAATTCTACTATATATTACTGTCATAACGGTTATAGTTTTATTTACAATATCAATGCCATAAATGTTACTGTAATAAGAGTACCTGAGCGTAGGTGAGATAGAATAACTGATCGAAGTTAAGTTTAAGCCACGGAAGATGAACTTCTTGGAATTCAGAATTCCTTCCGGGAGATCTCAATCGATCCAAAGTATCATAGGCCAATCTGAGCCCCATCGCTTCGGATAGGCGTTCGTTTAGGCTCATTTGCAAAATCTAAAACGCGTTGAAAGAAAGATTATTACTTTTAGTGGTGTAACAATTCAATGTCTTACTTTAAAATCGTATTTTTACAATGTAACGATTTTATAGGGAAAAAAGAAAGAAATATATGAAATGACCTCGTAAGTGACAGTCTGCCCTGTAGACGGTATCGTCATATTCATAGGATTTTGATAAAAAATATTTCTTTGACTGTAATCGTCGTTGTCACTCAACAGAGAGTTTTCAGTGTCACGAATTCCATTCCAATAATAGATACCTAGTAATAAACGTTAAGGTAAATTGTTGTACATTTGGAAGATAAGATTCCTTTTCTATCGGATCTATTATTATAAATTTATAACGTCATTATGAATATTACGTATCGTTGAAATATACCATTTGCGTCAAAGTGATGCGCAATTTGATGTGCTATCACATTACCGAGTGTCGCCAGTATTATGTAATCGAACGAGAGTTCATTGTACTTGGTGGACCAGTCGATCACACCAAACGGTATCACGACAAGATTTAATTCGTAAACCGCGAGCCCTTTGGACTGGAATGGTGTTGCGTAATGTGTCCATCTGTTATATCAATTCGTACAGCAAAGTTATCTTGCAGTAGAAGAGTCTGGCTACATGGCTCTCAACGGGATTATAATAATGGAAAAAGATTGGAGAATAAGCCATATAAGTGGAACTAATTCTTTGCAGTTCTTGATTATTAAAATCATAGCGCAAACTTGCAAATTGAAAAATTCATGTGTATAATAAGAACCATGTAGCAAGACTACATTGTAATTCATCTATTAATTTATGATTGTAATAACTTACATCTGTTCAGGATCATTTGGATCTGTAAGTAATTCTGCATAAATTAATTTTCTGTACCTCTGCATCAATGAGACTGAGTTCTCAAAATAATTGTCGGACAAATCGATCTGAAATTACAAATTATCATATCAATTATCATATCTCTTATGCGTCGTAATATTGCGCACATATCTCTTATCAGTTCCTTATAAAATACTACGTTCTTTCTTTCTTTTTAAATACCTCGTATGCTTTAGTTGATCTGTAAGCGGAATTGTTGTTATTCAAATATGAAATGTCAGGCACAGCAATTTTCAGATCGTTTATTTTTGCGATCAACGCGTTGCGTCTCTCCGGTGCGGCCCATTTTACCTCTTTTACGTTTAATGTTAGTGTCTCCTTAAGTATTTCGAACAAATTATGTATCTGTTAAGTTACAGAATAGCGATTAAACTTTACTATGTAAACGATTCCTTCAATTAGTCACGGTACGTGAAACGAAACTCTTACAGTTTTATTCATGTACGTGAGCTGATCTCTCGAAAAGGAGGAAACGTACAAATCCGAAGCTTCCGGGATTAAAAGGCTAGCGGCCACGCGAAGGCAGTATTCTTCAGCGTTTCGTTGCTTTGGCAGAACCAGCTGAAAAAAAGAAACGCTTATAAAAGAAAAAAAAAAAAAAAAAATAAAGAAAACACATGACATAAAATAAAAAGTAGAGTATACCTCATGATAAAGATTGCGTGCATACAATCCTAAAAGTGCATTATTTAATTGCATAGGATCTTCTGCTTTAAATTCTTCCAGACTTTTCAGTCCTTGATCCAGAACGTTATAGAAATAAACCTGCACTCGTACTGTAGTGTTAATCGTATTCATCGGTTTAATTTGTTCTTTCGTTAACAAATAAATCAGTTGCGTCCAATTCACCTATGAATACATTGTGAAATGTTATTGACCTATCCTGTAAAGAAAATTAATCATGCAATAATTTATAATTTCCTTACGACTTTGTAACTTTCTTCCAATTTTTCAATAGTAACTAGTGTGTAGTTTTTCATTAGATAAGCTTCACGAATCTCTGACTTAGACGGGTAAATCTGAAATCATTGACATAATTAATTTAGCATCGGGATAGATCTGGATCCATGAAAAGCAACGATAAAAATTAATGATAAATTAACTTACCGCGAATAACTTTTGTACTAGTTCCATATCAATCTTAATAACCGTAGTTTGTATATATTGCGTGATATTATACGGATTCTTTAACTCATTGAAAATACCCAATGCTCTTAAAGCTTCCGAGATGGAGTATATGAACTTCTTCGTATTTTTCTAAGAAATAAGAGCAATTTTTAAGCATTTTTAATAAATTGCAAATGCTTGCTGAGCATCTATTATAAAACATAGTCTTAGATATTCATACTTTGCAAGTTTTGTATTCCTTATACAGTTTTCCTAAATTCACCGTCTCTTGTTCTCTCTCTAATTGTTTTGCATAACAAGGATCATCCGTGTTCTCTAAGTCAAAAGGATTTTTGTACATGGTTGGTCCTATTTTAAGAGTGAATGCTTTAGGCAAATATCCATCTAGGTCTGGAGAGATGTCGAACAGCAATGCACTATGAATAAAAAAAACGTCCACAAAATATATGTACGAATATACAATTATTTTTATACGTTCATTGTTCCAATTTTTCACCTGTTGTGTAGTAACAGATTAGCTAATAGCTCCGTAAAATTTGCGTGATTTCTTTCCCAGTCATCAGTAGTGTAAAACTTACCGACTTTATCCAAAGTCTGTTTTGCTGTAAATAGAATGATGTCGTGCTAACTTTAAAATTTTTTAACTTTGAAAATCTAGAATTTTTAGTGAGTTCAGGATCAAGTTTTCAATAGACGTACCCAGCTTTATTCTCTCACTCAAGTCTACGTTCTCATATTGCATACAGCTGTCGTAGTATTTGATGAATGTGGACGATTTACCTTCATGAATTTCTTTCTGCATTTGCCCTGAAATACATGTTATGTACAGCTTTGTAATTGCAGTCAGACAGCTTGAATAACATATGTTCTTATTATTCTAGTTTATACGCACTGAATATGCGTCGATAAGCCATATTTTCTAAATTTTGTTCTACAGTATGAGGATTCGTCTCGAAACCACCGCAAGCGTATTCGTAAAAGTCCTCACAAGGATCAATCGTATGATTCATGTAAAACAGTATTTTGCTGGCCATATTCTTGCATTCTCCTGTTGTACATACTTTATTATCAGTTGAGTTAGTAGGGGTTGTAATTGAATTTATGCTTGTGGTATCATCTATCACTGTACTTAACACGGTAGACTCAGTAAGAGTTTCTTGACGATTTTGAAAGGTAGTTTCTACCACATCGTTCTGATTTTTTGTTGTTACTTCCAGAACATTATCTGTCGTAGTTTGATATATTTCTGAAGTAGTAGTTTTAGCAATAAAATCGAGAATTGTGGAATTAGAAGGAGCGTAGGTAGAAGATTCATTATCATTCGCTGAAGATGTTGATACCTTTGTGGTCTCAACACTTTGGAGTTTCTCAAATTTATACACGTTATCATAATCTTGTGTAGAAGTTTCAGTCTCTGATATCGTTTCTTGCGGTTCAGTCAATGAGATAGTTGGACGATATTTTACAATTGGAGTTGGGGTTGTAGTTGTAGTAGTTGTTTCTTGTATATGATATCCATGAAGATGATACTGTAATAATAGAACTGTTTTATAACTAAACTTTATCTGATAATTTTAGTCTTGAAGAATTTGCCCCTACCGTTTTTTCTTGCTCAGCTTTATATTCAGAACGACCGGCATGGTTCCTTTTCCACGGTAAACTGGCAAGGATGAGAATGATACAGAGGAAGAAAAATATAATCAATGCCAACAAGCAACTTCTGTAAGACTGATCCTGTCCTATTGCTTTACTGCTTTCCACACTGGTAATTTGATAAGATCTTCGAGAAGGCATTATTTATAACATTGATAAATACTGATAAAATATAAGGTAGCTTTTATGCAGTGTTCACTATGTGCACAAGTTCCTTTAACTAAATGAAACTTAAACACAAACCAGTATAAGAAAGGAGGTAGTGATTGTGGTTTTGTTAACCACTTCCTTTGATGTGTTATCTTTATACGTCCGTAATGAACGATATTACGCCCTTAATATCCATGGAAATATATTTGAGGAAGTTGGATTTACCGAAATGAAATACTCTCATCGACACAAACACTTTTCATTTTTTTTTTAATACATCCATAGATTCCAAACAGCCTACGGAAGGCGACGTTAAAAATATTCGAGATAGATAGATATAAGTTACTTATATTAATATATTTTATAATACAATTATCACAGATATGTAAACTACAAAATATTATATACTATTATAAAATGCAACTTGCAGTTTGCCAATGATCCCATTGCACGTAGTATGACATCTTATCTACAGCCTAAACTATTATTATAATTTAAATACGATTAAAAAATATATATTTCAAAACTCTATTCGCTTGTTTGTTGTACCGAATATGTATCAATGTTGCGTTTGATTTCATTGTCCACTGAGTCCGATTTCATGAGAGCTTCAATCGTTGAACCAATCTCTCTTGATACGGATATATTTTCTACTTTTTTGGTACTAATTTCGTCTTTGTATTCGTCGAACTTTAATATTTCCAAAGGGATCTGAAACAAATGATCATATATATTAGTGAAATAAATAATGCACGCCGATGTTAGTCAATTTTTTTCACAACTTGGAAAATTTATTATTTATAATTACTTTTCTTTGTATTTCATCAGCCTTAAACTTCTCTAGTTTTTCCTTATCAGCAAGTCCAATTGCAGTCTTTGACGATGTTTGTCTCTTTGGAGTAGGTTTCCTTGGCTTAAAAGATCCGGAGGCTTTCTTAGGTAACTGTGAGCTCATGTGCTTTTTAGTCTCGTTGGACTGGTCGCAATTATGAGTTAGCAATTGTTCCTTAGTTTTAAATGCCTGCAAACATTTCAAGAGTTAAGCTTCCATTACAGCATATAATAAATTAATTTCAATACCGTTGACACTTACGTGTGAACAAATTTCGCATTTTAAACTATGTTTATTCATTTCATGATGCTTAAGAGCTTGGGCCCGATGGAAATTACGGTTACAATGACTACAACTAAATCGTTTGATATTGCTATGCGTCAGAATGTGACGCTTCAATTTATCAGGTCGCGAAAATTCACTCATACAACCTGAGTAACTTCTGAAGGGACACTTTAATCTCTTTGTTAAATCATGAATTAGCATATGACGACCCAAACGATCTTTTCGTTTGAATCTAGCTGGGCAATGCTACAATAAGGAAATTTTACGTACATAAAAAATAGAAAAGTACATTAGATTTCAAATGAATTATAAAGTTACTTACTGGACACAAGAATGGCGTCTCCTCGCTATGTATTAACTTATGATTGGCTAAGTATTGCTCAGTTTTGAAGGCCTTTCCGCAATCTTCGCAGGCAAAACGCGCGGACGAGGCGTGCGTTTTCAAATGACGCCGCAAGAATCTTTCGATCAAGAAACTTTTTCCACAATGCAGGCAAGCATAATCATGGGTCGTAGTCTCCGTATGGTGTTGTAATGCCTCCAAGTTGGAAAAGGATGATTTGCAAACGGAGCAGCAGTAATATTTCTCTGTTGTTTTCTGCTTCTGGACGGAGTGGGCATACTGGTGAAGTCCAAGATCAGATAAAGTATTGAATATTTCGCCACACACGTGGCAACGATACTCTGATCTTTTGTGGCTGCGAGTGTGCTCCAAGAAATCTTCGAGTTCGGCAAACATCATGCTACAACTACTCTGCACACACTTGTACACTTTCAGCGCTAAATGAGATACTATAAGATGGCCCTTTAGAGCTTTGTACGAATCAAATATTTCTTTGCAGAACTGACAATGGTAGGTACGATCTATGCTTCCATCTGCGGGTGCCTAATAATAATTATTGATTGTTAAAAAGAGCCGAGGATGGAAATTGTAAGTATACAATAAGATATTTGAAACACCTCAGGGGGTAAGGAGTGTATTGCAGTGCCTGGCCATACTTTATGCGATGACATATGCTTTTTGACATTGGATTTTTGTGCGAATGCACGTCCGCATACAACACATTGATATGGCTTTTCTCCAGTATGAGAACGTTCATGTTGTTGCCAGTAAAATTTCTTCGAAAATTGTTTGCTACAGTAACCGCATTTATACTGCAATAGAAAATTTCAATTGAAATACTACAAAGAAATAATTTACCCTTTCATAAACGTATCATATGTACTTTTAAGTTTGGTGTCTGATTATTGGCAGTTTCTAATTCCGCCGTTGTATTTTCAGTTAGATTTTCAGTCATTGATATATCAATTTTTTCTGGATCATTAATATTTTGTTCATCGGAAATATCACTTTGGAGAACTTGAGGTACTTCGTTTGAATCATCTTTGAGGGGGTCACTGTCTGTTGGAATAGTGGAATTCTCAAAAGTATCTAAACCTTCTGAACTTAAAATTATTGGAACACTAAATGTGGAATCTGTGGAAAAATAATTAGCACCCTCTTGATCCATGCTGTAACAAATGCAGAATATATTATTCATTAGATTTGAAGTTCTATTAAGTTGTAGGCCAGATATTCAATTATTTGCAATGTACCTAAACAGCATATCCGATTCTTCGAGTATAATTGGCTCGTTAAGTTGGTCATTTTGAACAAATGTTTCTTGAGGATTATATTGCGATACATCTTGGCTACTGTCTTCCGTGTGAACAGTCTGACTTTCATCGTTTACCAAAAACTGACTCAAATCCACTGTCTGTTCTTGTGTTTTTTGGTGTGTCCTTTTGTGCAATATGAACATGTGCAACGATGTAAATTGATTTTTGCATTTTCCACACTGAAATATATCTTCTTCATCCTGATCAATTGCTAAATAAAATATATAAAAATTTTCATCATAAATTCATTCTGTTAAAAACTCCACATTACTAGGTTATCAATAATTATTTTAATAAAAACCAACCTGATTGTTCAACTTCGGTTATCAGAGTCTGTGACTCTAATAAAGATTGCACAGAAGGACCGTCGAGTGATACACCTGTAAATCAAAAACAGTATAATCATGAATACTAAACTCAATTTTCCCTTAGAATGGAAGGTAAATAGGATACTTGTTGGTTAACCCCACCTATTTCTGTGATAGATAATGTTTTACCTGTTAAAGCGTCGAAAATAGATTGCGCCATGTCTTTTAACAATATTAACGCTTCATTGTAAAAGAAATCAACGATCAAACTTTCATGAATCGTTTAATCTGAAGGAAATGAACAAGTTCCAAAGCGAAAACATACCGAGAATTTATACGCCCTGCCAGCGTTGTTGCTGACCAGGCCAGCGAGTAATAATCGATATGTCGATTGTTGAAAACGATTATGCAGTTCATTCAATGAGAGATCATATTCAATTCGTGCAACGTGGTTAACTTCAGCAGATTCCCCGTTAAAATATGCACATGCCTGGAACCTATGAAAAAAGGAGTCTTCATAAAAACATAATACAATTTTAAAATTGTACTTTTCTTGTAATGTCACCCGTATTTTTATTTCTAGAATGAGAAACCAATTTCCACTTTTATGCCCAGGGCCCGGAAAGATTTAAAAACGGCACTGAGTATACCCTCCCCTTTACTTTCCAATCGTCCTATTATTTGACTTTTAGTTGGCGGAATAAACTGCTAGATTGCAATGATAGAATCTTTTTAATTTACACGCGAAATCTGCTTCAACTAATCAAAATTATTAGAGAAGAGATAAAAGATAGATGATAACGGGATAAATCCACAGACACAACTATGGATAGATTATTTCTACTCCTGCTGTACGTTTCAAATGATTTGAAGTTCCGACATGGCTGAAAATCTCATTCTTAGTATACTAATTTCGCAATTAAAGCGTGGTAATGATTCAATTGCCAAATAAAATATATCACATAACACTTTCTTGTGTAGTAATTAATTTAATCCTACATTTTCTTATCCTCCTAAAAATTAACTATGTCCGCGCGCGTGTACTATCTGGAAATGATACGATCAACTCCATCTAACGATCAAAATTGGAAATACTGACATAAAGAATTCTGTTTTATCGTACAATATCTTTTTACGTTTTAATAATGCCCAGATCTGTAAAATAATCCAAAGTCGTATAGTTCTATTACGCAAGGCTTATTAACTTAGAAAATACAATTTTAATAAAATTTTTACCTGTAGCACTCTCTGGCGACACGAACATATGAGTAATTAATTACAAGTTATTTAATAATAATTTATGCATTTTTTATGGTTAAATTATGATTTCTTAGCTATTTCCACACATCATATTTGTTCAGATTTTTATTGAAATTAATTAGTTATTAATATTTCACTGCAAGCGGTGTAGTAGTGAAGTATCCTCTCTGTCTACGGTATATGAAGAATGAACAGATTGACAGATATAAATTTCGATCGGTGCCATCTTGCGATTCCGCTCTCGGATCTACTCCTGGTATTAGGATCACAGAAAAGTAAAGGAGGTATTTGGAGTAAGAGCTATCCCGCGCAAACCAGCGTGTATGCGGAGTAACAGGTATCCCGAGCAGCTGCGCGCATGCGCAGTAGCGTCGCGTCACTCTATATATACGATAATTATATCTGCAAGAAACGTTAATTACTCATTTTCTGAACACAATTTATGAACTTTTATGATCGAAGAATGTTCAGTGATTCCGTAGTTACCTTCTCATATCCTATTTATACAGATTTGAATTGACAGTAATTAATTATTAATGAATATTCCATCGGAAGTCGGCGCATTATTTAGTACCCGTGGGCTGATGTAAGATTATTATTTACACGTTTTCTAAATATAATTTATGCACTTTTATGATATAGGAAAATAGCTGAGGAATCACTGACTATTATTCAATCATAAAAGTTCATAAATAATGTTCGGGTACTGAGTAATTAATTATTTTGTGTCTGCATCGCGATATGTACATGAGCCACGTATGTCAATTCTACTGAGCATGCAAAGTGCAATATTTCGGCACTTTGACGACGCAGTATGGTTCCTGAGGCATTTAGAAACAAATTTCTATTAGGGTTTGATGCGTTTTGATGCCTAATAAAGCCAGAAAATCAATTTTTGTCGAATTCGGTCGAAAACGGTA